GGAATCCCAAAATGACTTTGACGTAGCCCAAAAACATTACATAGCATGCTTCATTTTAGATTGCTCCTAAATGAACTACCAGTATCCCCTCATCCTCTTCTGAAAACACTTCTCAGGGGGAAAAAAAAAAAATGCTATTGTTGCATTTTCCTCAAGAATTTCCCAAGTTTGTTTGCCCTGAGATTTCTTGTTTGGTTGGGTTTTTTTTTTCCTTCTCTGCTCACCAAACAAATAAGCGACTTGAAGCTTATCCAATTTTCTAACTGCAGGTAGGTACTATGAAGATAGTGCTGCGTAGCACATTGCAAGGAAGCACAACATCCACACAGTATGAATTTGCATCTATCTGATAAGACCTGGGATGAAGAGGCCAGGATTATGTCCCACCACACAGAAAAGCCAGCAAGGTTTCTCTTAGAACATAAGCAGGCAAGTGAAAATACAACCCAAGTAGCTCAGAATCCCTTCATATTCTCGGAAACGCTGCCAGGGTCCTGGTAAATGCATTATACAACCTCTTAGACTATAAAAGTGTTTAGACATCCTGTAAAGTCAAGTCCACAGCTGCAATAACCGTTATGTTAAAGTTCAGTCAGGAAAGGCTTTCTTATAGTTCAGGCTCATTTGCTTTTGTGACTAACAAACAAAAAGCGCAAAACCAAAAAGCCTTTGAAATTATTTTTCTATGTACCTTCAAATCTCTGTAAACCACATTCTTCTCTGAATGCAGGTAATCCAGTGCTGAAACAATCTCAGCTCCATAAAACCGAGCCCGGTCTTCCGAAAAGACGCGCTCTCTTGACAGATGGAAAAACAACTACAAGAACAATAATTCGTTACCTTTAGATTGCACATGTTTCTGAGTTATGTCTCGCAGTTCGCAGGCCATCCTGCTTGGAATGCGACATTACCTAAGAGAAAACCCCTTCCCATCCTCACCCAGCTGTGTTCCTAAATGTGTTAAAAAGCATCATAAATTAAATGACTAGACAATTATATCTCTCATTCACAGATGCACACTGATAACCAGGTTGTGTGCTGCACATTCTTGTATGTACAGAAAATGATAAAAAAACCATTTTGATTGAACTATAATTACATATTAAAAATACCGCTTAATGCATGATTAAGAGACATGTTAATATTCCAACTTCTCCTTCTTGACTGTCTAACAGTAGTTTGCTGTTTCTAGTTCTCCCTCTAAAGTAACATGTGCTCACAATATTCATTAAAAAGTGTTAAAAGTTTTCTGAAGAGCAACTAGAAAGCAACCTTGCCTTCCTGAATTACTAAATGTCAGTTACAATATGTTGCTGTCATGTAAAATATGAACCTACACCCAAAACCTCTATTCTCTAAACATGGAGTTAAGAAAATTAAGAGTCTTAATTCTTAGTTAAACCTGCAAACAGCTCTGTTTAACTGGGACAACTTGCATTAATTAGAATTGCAAACATGGACCTTAGCTAAATAATGTCAAGCAGAATTAGTAGTAGTACAGGAAAATCCTAAAGTATTAAACATTATTACATTTCCCTTACCTCCCCTCCATTAGCATACTCCATAACAAAACACAAGCGATCATGTGTCTGAAAGGAATACTTTAAAGCCTGAAACAGATTTAAACCAAAACTTAGAAGACAGATCACACTGACAGTTATACAAGCATTTTTAATAGATTTTCAGAAACATAGACAGATGTGAAATTTTCTATTTTATGGACTTTTTGTCCTTGGACCTTACATAATACTTACACTTTCCTGTTGCAGCTGAGGACTGATCCACTGCCAACTTATTTCATTAAATAATTTTAATAAAACATTAAAACAATCCCTTGCAAAAGCTATCAGTAACGCCTATAATGCTGTGAAACAAAGTCCTGGCCCATTTAAAGTGATACAAAACGTACCAATAGTGGCTCTGAAGTTTCCTCCCCAGGCCACAAGCTCCCACAGTTTCATCTCGCAGACAAGAGGCCACAACCAAACACAAGGTTTTACCGCACTGGCTACAAGCCCTCTTACATGAAACACATATATATTTACACACACCAGCCCCCTGGTCTCTGCCCTGCTGCCTGCAACTGCTCCCTGTTGACAGCCTGCCAGAGGATTGAGCAATGCTGTCAATATCAATTTGTGGGCAATTCACAAAAACAGACCGGTCAGAGGGTGTGATGAAACGTCACAAGGTGCCTTTGTACAGTCCTGTCACGTGTATTCGTGTGGCAAGAGTAACATCAACTTGTTTGCCACAGTCTTAAGTTTCTTGGTCGTAACCCAGTCTTGTAGCTGACTTCTCAAGACAGCCCTTGTTTTAGATATTTCAGTTTATGAAAGCAATAAAAAGAAAATACCTCATATGATATCATCGTCTTCATTACTAGCGGTAGCATTTTTAAACCAGTCATATTTTTGCAGAGAGAGGGAGGATCGGGTTTTAGACATGTCAACAAACATTTACTGATTATACCCAATACAGCCAATATTTACTTCCAGAGGCCACACTTAGAAGTCTAAATTCCAGTTAAGCCCTTGTGTACCTGGACAAAGGAAACAAGCGGGATCCTACACAGGTCTCTCAGAGGGCTTAAGCGGTTGGAAACAATTCAGAACCAACTTGTAATAAATACTAGAAATAAAATCTTGAGGTGGAACATAGGTATCTGAACTCAACCCAGAGAGATTGCTGGCGCTGGAGGTCTAAACTGAGAGTACGGTTTGGTTTTACAGCTAAGCCAATCAAAAAGGAAAGCAGCGGATAAAGCACGGTCCTACTCTTCCCTGTCCCATCCCACATGCTCCCACCACTATCCTTTGGCTGGCATTACCAGTGCTCTGATTCCATAGTGAGTTGCTTCTGGGAGCTTAAAAAAACAACAAAGAAAGGCAAAATTAAAGGGTTTTTCCCCCACTGTACCTTCATGAACTCGTTTGTCATAAGATCAGGGTCACCCTGATCTCTGCTACAAAGAGGAGACCAAGCATTTGGAGGACAAGGAAAGCAGATGCTTCTCTCAGAGATAGCAAGCCTTTAAATGGGTGAGCCATAAAGTCAAACCACACCCTGAAACACTGTCTTCAAGAGGTGCTGAGGACCTGCTCTGCAAGAATCAGAAGACTTAAAAAAGCATTTTAATTTGTGCTTCCCAAAATGGAAGGGTACAAAAATACACAGCCACTCTGAAAACACGGATCTCAGATATATTATATAAATAACAAAAAATAAGGAAAGTCTTGCTTGTCATGATGTCAAGTTACACTCAGCAGAGGGAGAAATGCTTACTGTTAAGAATGGATGCCGCGAGTTCTGTAAAACACGGTTTTCTGTCAGTGTGTGCGCTACTTCATCCTGAAAGACAAGCAGAAGGAAATAGCAAAGTGATTCCCCAGATCAGGGGTCCATTTCAAACACTAACAGAGCAATTATTTACAAGTACTCAGAGAATCCTTGGCATGACTTTCCCAAAGGCTGTATCAAGGGTGAACCACATTCCCAGGTTTCCCATCTACTCACCTTTGCTACAATAACTTCCTTCTTCAGAATTTTCATAGCATAATACCGTCCAGTTGCTTTTTCTTTAACCAAAATGACCTTTCCAAAAGTGCCTTTCCCCAGTAGTTTAAGGTATTCAAACTCATTCATGGTCTGTTAATTATACAGATAAACAAGAACTGAATTACATGAACTAACAACAAGTATATAATTCTCAAACTCGAATTTCTCATTCATGTGAGAATACATTTCATATGTTGCATATGTGGTTTTTTTAATCGTTTTGCTTAGTAGAATTCAGGAGCAGAAATGATTCTTCCATAAAAATGAATACCAGTGCACTCCCAAAGATAATCAATCAAACTATTTAGGGAAAACCACAAGCTTTCAATTAACATTTTCACATGACTCAACTGTGCAAATACCACTCCACATATTATTATTAATCCATAGACATTTTGACCACTTTATCAGTGCAGACATTCACTAAAAGGCACGTGTTGCTCTGATTCCAGGGATTAAACCCATACCTTTTTTCTCATGTTCCCCACTTCTTTAGGGGACCAGCTTTCTTGTGCTTCATTGAACAGCACCAAAACCCACAGACAAAACAACTGTCTTACAGATTAGCCATTCGCTCTTATTTGTTTCACCATTAGGAAATATGTTGGGGAAAATCAGAATCTGTTGCAGGCTGAGGATAGTCTCTGTACTGTCATATCGATGACCATTGCCAACATAGCAATAGTAAGCCTTCTACAGCCAAAGGCTACTGCAGCCTAGGTTGGGGAAAACTTTAATATGCTCCCAATAGCAAACTTGCTCCATATGCTTCCCTACAGCTGGCTGAGCTGCTAATTGTTCAATACAGTTGATGCCAGGACCCCAATAATCATTTTGACTATCCTCACTAACATGTCCAGAGGGAGACAGTCACTGTCTCAGAAGAACATGTATATTTGACCAACGAGGTGGTTCTTGCATTTCTATGAAGAGCTGCTCAGCAAGAGCCTTTCAGTCAAGGACACAGAAGGCTAATAGCAGCTACAATTCAAAGTGACATGTAAGTAGCCACCCACATCAGTCTAAAACCACTGACATGACACAAGGCTAGCACACATACTTAGTGATGACACTGGTGGATGGCTATCTTTTTTCTTTAAAAACTTCACCAGTTTTCCCAAAACTGAAACAAACTCATGAAAGTAAGTGGGGATGACAATGGTGAGATAAGGACACAAAGAAGTGCCTTGGTACAATCCACAGACATAGCATTCGCATGGGAGAAGATTCTATCAATTCTTTCTTACAAGAGCAGATGGGAATACTTTGGAAAATGGAAACCCAAACAGGAGACCACAAGGGGGTAGAAAGAAGTGAAGGGGGTTGAAGACAGATACCTAAACAGGCTCCACAGGGCAAAGATCTCCTCTGGCACATACTTTTTCATGGAAGGCCATTGCTGAGCTGGCCCTGTGCATTCAGACAACACTGTGTGTGATACAAACACCTGAGCTCTAGGAACGCTATGGACAGACAATGCAGTGGCTGTCTGGGAGTTAGCCTAAACCCTTAATCCCAAGCAATTAAATCCACTGGACCCACCCTAAGTCCTGCAAATCCACTGGAATGTCTTTGCACAAGCCTGCAAGGTGTTCACACAGTCACACGGTCCAGCAGGAGCTATGATTTCAGGCACCGTACCACAGGAAAATAGGCAAACCAATTCCAGACCTGAACTGGCCTCGAAAGCCATACAGTAAGGACATCTGAACTCAGAACTCCGGTGGACCCAGACAGGTTTTGCCTAGTACCTAATCAGCTCAGACAATTGTTTCCTCCAGAAGCTGCATCTATAACTAACTGCGTAATTGTTACAGGAACATAGAATCATAGAATAGTTTGGGTTGGAAGGAACCTCTAAAGGTCATCTAGTCCAACCCCGCTGCCGTGGGCAGGGACATCTTCAAGTAGATTGGGGTGCTCAGAGCTCCCTGACCTTGGATAACCTGACCTTGGTTGGTCAGATGTGTCTTGATGGTTATTTCTTGTCTACATTCAAGACCACCTAAAAAAATACTGTTATTCCTGCTCACTTACCACTTTGTGTTTTGGCTTTGTCATAGAAACTTCCATTTCTTCAGCACCTGAATTATCACTCGGAGAGCCAGATCTAAAATCCATCATCTCTTCCTCTTGTTTCTTGAGGCTGTCTGCTACTGTCTGGATGGCTTTTGTCCATTCTTCCCTGGCAAAATATAAGCAAAGACATTCGTTACTTGTGACTTTAGATTACCATCTGCCATGGCAAGGGTTACCAAGGAATACAGAGCAACTAGCGCTCTCGGGTGAATCAATGCAACATACACTGAATTATGTGCATTTTCAAGCACTGTAAAAATGCATTTTTAAGAGCACTTTTAACATGTATCTTTATTAATCGTACTAGAAACAAGAGACAACTGAAGTCCTCCCAGTCTGGACATAATATAAGGCTTTTCAGACAACAGAATTTCTAATAGGCATTCAGTCAGCAGCTTAAGATATGACCTGGTGATAGAGAGATTTACATAACAAAAACAGACTTCCCAAAACCAAAAAGCAAAAGGCTCCCATGCAGCACAAAGCAATTAAACACAGCTCCTCCATTCCTATGGTGCATTGAAACACATATATCCAACTGCTGGGGACACTATGCCACCTCTTCGTACACGTCCCGAATTTTAAAGGCAAGGGGTGTTCTAGGAGAACGTAATAAAGCCCAGGATACTTAGGTTATTCCTCTGTTGTAAAGATGCTGACAAAAGTACAGCAATTCCTGTGTAAATTTTAGCAGAATGTCAGCAAAAGCAGTGATATTTTATCTTAGGCACAGGCCTTGGTTACGATAAAGTTTCCAGAGCTGTTTCAGCAATGTGTGCTCTAATACTGACCCCTTCGACTCCTGTGGAGACCACTTCCACTCCAGTGTCCTTTGGGAAATTTCACACCTTTGGAAACTACTGAAGTGAAAGTTCTTGGCCTTCATTTCACTGCAAATTTATTGTACATAAAGCACACAACTCGTAAGGGCTTACAGGGTTTTGGGACGGGCTTTAAGGCATATAGGGGCTGAAGACATGTTCAGTGGACTATGTGAATTTACCATATTTTACTATCTTTTGTATCTGTAAGGAACGGGATGTAGTGGTTTAGTTGATTTTTTTGGGCACTGGCTAAACTCCTCTCCCAAGGACACCCTAGGTAAAATACTTTGCTACTACAGCAGGAACAGAAGTAGCCAATGCTGAACAACTCCATGCACAATCTGCAGTGAAGCCATGCCATCCTAATCGATGTCAAATTTTTCACTGGTTCTATGAAATTATTAAAAAAAAAAAAAAAGTTTGTATCTGAACATGTGAATTTCAGTTTATGATGGATAGAAGAGGCAGATCATTCCCCAGAGGCAGCAAAGTCAATGGGAAAAACCCAACACAAGATTCTAAGAAAAACTGCACCAATTACACATAAGGTCTTTCCCACCCTGTGCTTTTTTTATTTTGGATTTTGTCTGAACGTGCACTATCCAGCCCTGTCTGGGGCAGCAAGGTAATGCTAAACATTGTGAACATTCTCCCTATACTCCCAGCACAGACTACTTAATTCACCATCACAAACACATTCCTTTATTTACTAGTCACTTTTCATATTCAGAACTATTACAAAAAGAACTTTTTCTTCTATATTTTTCCATTTTCTCTCCATCTCTCTCAAAAAACAAATGTTGGTTTTAAAGGCACAGAGAAAGCTAATGGCACATCTACCTTCACATCTCTTTTAAGATTTGTTACTGACTTGGTTGAGATCTCGGCCCTCCTGAAGTGAGTATGTTTGATTTCTGGGAGACTAGAATTTCACCCTCAGCTTTTATGTCTCAAGCGTACACAACAGAGGTGACTAACACTCCGAGCCCTGAAGTGTCACAAAGCTGACTTAACTGGCTAGGAGGGAACAAAACAAGACTGAAATACAATCTTCCCCCAAGTGGAAACTGTTATTCACTCCCTTTAGGGTCACTGACCACAAAGCTACTAAAAGAAACAAGGACCAGTTTATTTTTCTTTGCTTTTAATTTGATTTCACCTTCTTCTGATCATTCTAATAGAATCAAAAGCAATAAACAGGAACCTTCTTTAAACCAGTGCATGCAAAAGGCTACAAAAGAAAAAAACAAACAATATTAGGTAGAATTTGCTGATCTTAAAAATAAACATGTGCCAGTATCATATCTAGGGAGGACAAGGGTTTTAAAATACCCCTTCCCATAGGGCAATGGTACTGGAATAATTTAAGTTTAGTTCCTGAAGCGCAAGTAAATATTTAAATACTCTGTAGCTGTAGAATAGCTGTGCTGGAAAGCTATTCTCTCAGGAGGTAAGAGATCAATTCTCCAATGATGAGAGCACAGGATGCACACTCTTAGCTTTGTTTCCTAACAGCTGAAACAGAAATCTGCACCTGCAGCAGATAACTATCACCTTTATTATCTAATTTGCATAAAACATTAGCATCAGCAATGATACAACTAACTTTTTTCCTTTAAAAACAAGGTGTCTAAAAAGACTTTAAAAGGTCAGTATTTTGATACAACTCAACTTTGCCTGAATCTCTGTTTCACTTGTGCTCATCCTTCCAGAAACTCCCAGGTCAGAAACCCTTCATTTCACATACCACAACATTTCCAGTGAGAAATGAACCCTGAGTTTCCAGAAATAACTACCTGAGCACTGCTACACACCTGCACCTGTCCGTTTTGGATACCCAACCTAGCAACATTTCATTTACAAATGCTTCTCAAAATCCACCCTCTGAAACCCCCTTTAAGGTATCTTTTATACTGGAACATACACTAAAACTGAGGCGCTCAAAAATTATTTGTCGCTTTTCAGTCTAGACGTACATCATCTGATAAATAAGAGCTTCAGCAAAGGACTCGCTATTAATGCTGAACACTTGCATCTGCTTTTGCAAGTAGTTTATGTATTAAATATGAATGAAACATACCGCTCCTCTGGAGTCTCCACATGAAATGTTCTTTCAATTACTGTGGTCCACTGGAGGCATCTAATGATAAATGTGTTTGGTTTAGGTCGTTCTGTCTTCATCAGCTGGCACTCTACCACAATCAAGGAAGAAAGAGTCATGGTACATAAGCAGGTTTAAATAATCATTTGTCTTTATTCTTATCTAGCAAACTGTTGCGATTAATCAGCCATAGAAATCTCTGTAAGTACTTCTTTAGGAGACTTGAGACAATTTACTGTGTTGATGAAACCAATAAATAGCTTGGGAGATAGTCATCTAAGCAGCACCGAAATCAAATTCTGCTTAGACAGGCTCCACATTTGGTCTGCCCAGAGAGGTAAGTAAAAATGTGATGTGATGACACAGAAGCCATTCAGACTCAGGTCCTACACGCTAAAGGTCATCCAGAGCAGAGCACATGGACAAAGTCAGCTGATAATGCAGCAATTACATGTTCCTTCCCTTTGACTTTCCCAACATAAAACCCTGTCCTTGGCTTTCAAGGAGTTGCTAGAGAACGTGTTTGGTCATTTTGCAGCGACCTGACGAAGATTAGACTCAGCATTTCCAGTCCTCAGACACTAGAGGGAACATCAAACTGCAGAGGCACCCCCAGAAAAGACCCCGTTCAAAACGCCTTCGGGACAGCTGCCGCAGTCAGATGCTGTACGGACATGCAGCTAACAGCTTCCATCACTGTCAGCATTTAAGCATAACCTAAAAAGTCTACAGAAGTATGGTTACATGCAAAAACACCACTTCCTTCATAAAAATGCTCTCTTGAGAGCTGAGCATTATTTTTTTTTTTTTTTTAAATCACACCTACTATTTTAAGCTTCATAGTACGTAATGACTTTTTTCCTTCAAATCTGGGCCTGAAAATGCACCTGATTAAGGGTATGCTAGCTATACTAAAAGAGAGAATCTGAAAAACAAAAGAAAATCAATGAAATAACAACACAAGCCGAAACACCACATTTTTCAGATTTATCTTAATAGAAAATCTAATGCTAATTAAGCAGCTCCAATTAAAGGCAAGTCAAATTAAGAAACGAAGTGAGCAGGGGAGGGGAATGGGGGAAAAAAAAAAAAGAAAAGAAGAGAGATAACTGTTTGGTTTTTTTTTTCTTACATTAAATTCTTTTCCTTGCAGTTAATGAAACCACAAGCTTGCTATTATTTGGTCTTCAGGTTCTAAATCAACTTCCAAGTAAATAAAAAGGCACTAGGAAGACAAGAAGAAATTTCTGCGTACTGCTAGAGCTACGAACGTCGTCCACCATCAGCAATGTGCAAGTCGAGGACAGAATCCGGCCAGAGTAACAGTGCACTTTCCTAAGGCTACACTGGTATCGTTAAGTTAATTTTATTATTGTGAAAATTTAGAATGCTCAGTTTTAAATTCAAGCTCTTAATTAGCACCAAGATAAAATATTTACCGCCACTGTTTTTGGGCGCCGTATTTTTGGCAATATATTTCATGCCTCATTTGCTACTGGAATTATAAGCTTTTCAATGAGCAACGTTGCATTTTTCATGACAAGAAAATCTAATTTTTCTTTAATAGCACGCTGAGGTTATACTGCATCCTACTAAAGCACTGCAATTAGATAAGAGAAAGTTTATTAATGAGTCATGAAAAGGTTTTAGTGTGATAAACGGCACTCCTTCATTCACTGAGATTAAAGAACTTCCACACAGCGACGCAGCCGTGCTTGCAGAGCACCGTATTTAGCCTTCCAGCTCCCTCCATCCTCTTTCGCAGAATGGCAGTTAAGGCCGAACACAACCACATGAGCTGGCGCAGCCCAGTAAGCCCTGGTTCTGATAAATTCAACTCAAGAGATCTCATTTCTGCTCCTGGATCATCCACCTTAGCTTAGCTGCTCTTCTTTGTTTTGTTGTTTGTTCCATCTCCCATTTTTGTCTGCCTAACGTGATTAGATGAAGGCTGGGGTTGTCCTCTGTGAGCCTGCACAATGCAGCCCTAAGATACTGAATTTGGCTGAAGACTTGAAGAAGAAAATCAGGCCATTTCTAACCTCGTGCAAATCCAGAGCTGTTCTCCTTTACTTATCCAGCAGTGCAACATGGTGAAGAAACACATTGAGAGGTTTTGCTTACTTTTTTAGAAACAGCCTTTAAATTCACGTTTAGTGCCTCAGATTAAGTATTCTGAAATAACAGCACAGATATTTAAACTAGCCATGAACTCTAAGCTTTAACCATTTAATTTCAGCATAATAAACCACACAAGGCATCTTCTGTCACAGAGGGGAACCAATTAAACATCACCACTTTTCCCCGAAATCAGCACTGTCCATTGATATTTGTTAAGCTTGCTGATCCAGCAATCTTTAAGGCATACAGCAAGATGAATAATAGAGATTTGTCAGTTAATAACCACTATAATTCAAGTATGTCACATAGAAGTGTTTTGTTTAGTGAACAATATGCTGTCTAATTACCCTGCTCAATCATAACAGCACATATCAAGAAATACAGAAGGCTTTATTTTTAAATTGCTTTACCAAAGTGCTGTACCACATAGGTTTCAGAAAGTTTGACTCTACCACTTAGTTCTCCCTATATACAACAATCGCATGGATTTTATCAACGAAATGACGAAGCAGTAGGTTTTTTTCTTACTTTTAAAACTGACTCTGTGGTCTTTACTGTAGTTGGCAAGCTAAAGAAGCACCAAACTTGCCTTCTATAATCATGTACTGCAACATGCACCATTACAGCAGAGCTCAGGTAAAGACGTTGTATGATATTAGGTCTGATTCACGGCATGTTTGGGGCTTCTGCTATAAAAATATTCACATTTCAAATATGGGCCAAGGGTCGCTTACCCACTTTGAAGACAGTTTTTCCTGTCAAACAGACCAACAAAAGTATTCCCCATTTGCAACAAAGTAAGTACTATAAACAGCGGCCTGTTAAAAATGATTTAAATTGCTCTAAAGAACCTCTTGATTCTTTCCTGGCGTTTGGTCTTTTAAAGTAAGTAGGACAGAGAAATTGCTCCTAACAGGAATAGACACCAAGGCATTCAAATGTAAATTACCATTTTGTATTTGAAAGACACTTAGTATTATCCCAGTGACTTTCTAAAATGTCACAATATTTGCTTCCCCAGCACTTAAGCTAAAAGGCAGATTACTTGCAATGAAAGTGTCAAACTCTGCTCCCTATATAATGACATCACACTTTAAAACAATAATGCGAAGGAAGAATCCTTCCTATTCCTGCTTTAGTTTCTTTAAGGAAGGGGATGGGGGGGGGG